GCCAAATATGACACAGTCAAACATTTCATGTCCCCTATTTCGTCTGGACCAATAAAGAAAAATATATCAGTCTGAAGCTAGCTGTTGGAAAAGATTTGCATCTGCAGTGCCAGGCCAGCCTGCACATTCTTGCATTTTGACCAGGATCTATATTGTAATTATGCTTCAAGCCAAATTATATTATTTTGATAATGAAATTCTTTTAAATTTGATTAAACTAATCCAAATTCAAAGCAGGGACATAAATCAAGCAGGTTAATAGTTTAAAGCCAGTTCTATATTTTCTTCACATCAAACAAAAAAATATATACTGTATGTGTAGAAATATTCGCGGGCTTCAAACTTTCGCGATCTTCGCGGTGACATTCGATCCGCGAATTCATGTTCAGCGCGAATATTTCTACACCAATAATTTTTTAATAGCCATATTTTCGCGCATCTATAGAACAATGTATATCAGTGTGTAAACGGCTGCCATAAGTCTGGTATCCGTGGCGATTTCAAAGAGTGATGTTACTGTTGTATAAACTGTACATGTAACATTTAGCTCTGTATATAAATCAGTTTGCTAGTGTAGTATTGTTTGACTGATCTGATTATCGGATTCTTGTAGAAGTATAAACATGTTTGAACAATACCATTGTATCACGCTATTTATTTTATAGTCTGAGTCATAAACGTCTTTACATCTGATCAGATTATATTTTGTTTTTCTAAAAAGCAATTATACAAATAACACAAACAATTAACGATTCTAACTGATGAAAACATGGAAAACAAAACACAATTACTCAGCCAACATTTTACCAAAATTGGTAAAAAAATTATGGTCTCATTCAGTGCTGTTTAAAACTGTGAAAAACACGCGCGTTAACGGACATTCTTTTGTTTGCCATAATATGTCCTCTAGACAAATTAGTGTCTTTGTTCTGTACAATAGCGTATAGTTTGACACCAGGTGTTGAAAATAACTGTGAAGTCCAAAATGATTACAGTTATAAGTATGTAAACAAGAACTGTCAGAGGACAGTAACGCTCGACTATTCGAAAATTTGTCACAAGGGTGTTTCATTGAGTATAATAATGCTTACCTATATGAATACATAAAATTGTCCGAAAAGGTACAAACTCTTCAAGTTTCAATACATTCCCTTCAGTAGTTATGGAGAGACAAGCTTACATGCAAAAACTTTACCAAGAATTCATGAGTCGAAAAAGGGGCATAATTATGCAAAAAAGCAAATCAGAGTTATAGGACTTGTACCAATCATCTTAGATAATCACAGAGACCAAGTGTGTGAAGTTTCAATCCATTCCCTTCAGTAGTTATGGAGATACCAGCTTACATGCAAAAACTTAACCAAGAATTTCTAAGTCGAAAAAGGGGCATAATTATGTTAAAAAGCAAATCAGAGTTATGGGACTTGTGCCAATCATCTTAGATAATCACAGAGAACAAGTGTGTGAAGTTTCAATCCATTCCCTTCAGTAGTTATGGAGATACCAGCTTACATGCAAAAACTTAACCAAGAATTTCTAAGTCGAAAAAGGGGCATAATTATGTAAAAAAGCAAATCAGAGTTATGGGACTTGTGGCAATTATCTTAGATAATCACAGAGAACAAGTGTGTGAAGTTTCAATCCATTCCCTTCAGTAGTTATGGAGATACCAGCTTACATGCAAAAACTTAACCAAGAATTTCTAAGTCAAAAAAGGGGCATAATTATGTAAAAAAGCAAATCAGAGTTATGGGACTTGTGCCAATCATCTTAGATAATCACAGAGAACAAGTGTGTGAAGTTTCAATCAATTCCCTTCAGTAGTTATGGAGATAACAGCTTACATACAAAAACTTAACCAAGAATTTCTAAGTCGAAAAAGGGGCATAATTATGAAAAAATGCAAATCAGAGTTATGGGACTTGTGCCAATCATCTTATATAATCACAGAGAACAAGTGTGTGAAGTTTCAATCAATTCCCTTCAGTAGTTATGGAGATAACAGCTTACATACAAAAACTTAACCAAGAATTTCTAAGTCGAAAAAGGGGCATAATTATGAAAAAAAGCAAATCAGAGTTATGGGACTTGTGCCAATCATCTTAGATAATCACAGAGAACAAGTGTGTGAAGTTTCAATCCATTCCCTTCAGTAGTTATGGAGATACCAGCTTACACGCAAAAACTTAACCAAGAATTTCTAAGTCGAAAAAGGGGCATAATTATGAAAAAAAGCAAATCAGAGTTATGGGACTTGTGCCAATCATCTTAGATAATCACAGAGAACAAGTGTGTGAAGTTTCAATCCATTCCCATCAGTAGTTATGGAGATACCAGCTTACATACAAAAACTTAACCACAGGGACGCCGACGCCGACGCCGACAAATGGGTGACTGCATTAGCTCGATTATTCTGCGAATAGTCGAGCTAATAAAAGAAGGCTGCTTGCGAAAACCATTGCCTTATCGTGTAAAAGTAATTCTCTTAATTTTAACCTGATGGGTGTACGCGAATTTATGATTTTCGGCAGTCACTTCCGCAAATTCAAAATAGCGCAAATATTTTATATACCCCAAAAATGGACATTTCCGCGAAAATTTGCTTCCGCGAATTTAAATACACATACAGTATTTTACCTAGCCAAGCTCTATCCAGATGGGCAGGGACAGAGCCCCCGCCCCCCATCCCCCCTGAATGGTTACAGTCTCGGATTTAGCATGTACCCTACAGAACTCTAGGTTTGAATCCTGTCAAGGAATGGGGATTATTTTGATGCAAGGATGGTATTAAGACGGCTTACAAAAGGTAATTTTTTTTCCAAAAAGGGAAATAACTACAAAATTATACCCTTCAGTAATCAATTATGTCCCTTGTCTTTTAATTGCACCTTATCATGATAAGCAAGTATTCCTAGTTTTGTGTTGATAACTTTTAAAATGTTTGAATAACGGGCTAAATTAAAGTTTATGCATGACAACAATGACTACGATGCATGGATAAAAAATAGTTGGAGGCGGTGGGGATAAAAATAAAGCATCTTACTTGAAAGCATAGGTAGGGATAGTTTGACACTTGAACCAGCCGTACTCTCACATTGCTCATGATGACCTAATCTCTCATTTCCTCCAGAATTATCATCGGATGTTGATGATAGCTCTTGTTTAATACTTGATTCCTGGTCGCCATGGAAACGAGGCATTTTTGCATGTTGTAAGTAAGTCTTTTTTCTACGTTTTCTTCTGTGTTCTGAATAACCTGATGTCATATAAACTTTGAATGCTTAACTTTATAAATATATAGAAGATATTGAATGAGTGCATGTTCAATACTGAATTTATTGAACGAGTTAAATGAAATTATTTTTTGCGAGTCTTTGGCGACAGGTTCAATAAATTCAGTAATGAACTTACACAAATATAATATTCTATTTACCACATACCAAAAATAAAATACTGTTCAAAGTGAAAAAGAATCATTTTCATTGATGCGCATATAGTGTAATGCTAACATCTAGAGCGTCTTTACACTATGTTTGTATTTCAAGCACAAATGGGCATCTGAGTAGAACCAACTTTCGGTAAGCTAGCTGGATAGCTTTCCAACATGGAAGAATCTGTAGACACTTGCTTAGTGAAAGGCAAGTGGTTTGAAGTCACAGTCATAACCTAAACTCGACATGATTTAGTACTTACCAGAATCGTTGGATATTTTGGGTCCTAATGAAAGTTGACCTGAGGATAAATCTCTATATATTTCCATCCGCTCCCTTATATCAGAGACACCTGAAATTATCAAATCTGGTTCAAAACCCATCCAATAAAGACTTTTTTTATCAATACCCTTTAAATGCATTCAAAGTGTGATTATATGCTGCAATTTAAATGATTCAAATTGCAGTAGTTGTATTTAAACATTATGAATTAGTTTTATTTTGGATTTTCCTAGATTTTCTGAGGTGTAACATGTGATAATAACACAGAAAATATTAATTATAAGCTGATTAAGTTCTTGCTTCTTCATTCTGTCCAGACTTTTAAAGTCACCTGTAAACGTTGACAGCTTAAAATTGTTGTAATTTAATCGAAGCAGATGTCTTGAAGTTTCTAAGCAAGTCCCTTCAAGTTTGACTTGCGAAGTACTACTGTAGATATTTATTTTTTAATTGCATTTACATGTAGTGTTCAGAGGCCTTATAGTAAATTTCTTTAGTCATCATAATTTTGTGAGTCTGAACTCAAACAATACAAGAGAAAACAACATTACAATGAGCACAAGACCTGAACTGTTACCTTACGATTTGCGGCGTGGCCGATCGGTTAACACCTTGGACTAATAATCTAAGGATTGCTGACCACGTGGGTTCAAACCCTGTCAGGGGCAAGCTGTTGTTTCCTTGAGCAAAAAACCTTTACACATTCATTGCCTAGTAACGGTTGGTTCCAGGAATTGATTTGAGAGTGTTTTAATAAGCTTGTAGTTTCCAACACAATGGAACTAAAATAAAATGTGCCTCGTCAAGACAAAACCAACATAATGGGTTTGCGACCAGCATGGATCCAGACCAGCCTGCGCATCCGCACAGTCTGATCAGGATCCATGCTGTTCGCTATCAGTTTCTTTACTTGTAATAGGATCTGTAAGCGAACAGCATGGATCCTGATCAGACTGCGCAGATGCGCAGGCTGGTCTCGATCCATGCTGGTCGCAAACCCATTATGTTGGTTTTGTCATGGCGCGGCTCAAATTTGTATAAACTAACACTTACCTTGACAGTAAGACTTGAACTCTGATTTGACATTATGAAGGTCAGACATAGACAAGAAGACTTGACCTCTAGGTGACCCCATTTCAGTTGTTCCACCATCTTTCACACTCACTGTTAACAGAAGAGCTTCCTCTCCAACTTCAGCCAATCTCTGCAGCTAAAAATATGCACATATGATATTGTCAACAACTACTGTGAATCAGCTTAGTTTTGTTTGCATGAAATTTCGTGGTTTTGTAACAAATGTACATTTTTTTGTGGCTTCTTAAAGGCCCATTATGTCCCAGAAATAGTAAATCGATAACAGTGACCCTAATTTATTTTTCGCTTAAAATGTTTCTTTTATCATATTCTAACAACATGCCAAGTTTAAAGAAGTTCAATTGAACAGTTTTCATTTTGCCTGTATGTCTATATGAAAACTCTCGAAATCGTCCTTAAGGTGCTTAAATGATTAAAGATGACATCCTAGACATTCTTTGCATTCATTTAATCACTGAAAAATTTAAGTTATGCATTTTCCCCCAATTTTTTAACAAAACATCGCTAAAATTCCCAATACCACGGATATGGGTCATGTTTCCAAAATCCTGGAAAACACTATCTTACTGCTTGTCAAATAGTTGAGCTAAAAAAATTAAAAAAGTTACCAAATGCTGAAGTTCCCATTTCAGCACTGTTTTTAGTGAGGTATTATTCTCCTCAGTAGACCAATCAGGACTGTTACTCATCTTTCCCACCTGCTTGACAACCACACTATAACACGCTGGTTCTAACTACAAACATCCCCTCCTGTATAATAATAATGATAGTTTTATCTGAACATAAAATAATAATAATACTCAAATAGTCACCAATGAAAATACCGTCTAAATCTAGCTACACGAATAAATGCAAAACGGACATATACTTCTTCTCTCATCAGGCTGGTGAAAATGCCAAATCGGGCGGTATCCGGACAATTCCCCTCCCGGACGATCCCCCTCCCAGTAAATTTGAATGTTTTTTCACAACCTGGACATTTCCCCTCCCGTTATTTTTTTACGGCGGACAATTCCCCTCCTGTTCTTTTATCAACCCGGACAATTCCCCTCCCGTTCTTTTAACAACCCGGACAATCCCCTCCCGCTGTTGTCAGAGCGGACAATTTCCCTCCCGTGGCTGTTGAATATATATATTATATAATATTGTTTATTTGAAAGGTATTTTTAATCAGCTTTAAATACATTTTGCTTGTCTGCTTTAACGATAATTAATAATTGTAAATAATTGGTTTTGCAATTCAGGACACATTTAATTAAGGGCGGCAATGATTAAAGATTTTTTATTGACAGTTTGTTTATCTTAAGCAGCGGCGGCAATGATTAAAGGCAGTATAATGTCAACTGATGATTGTTAAAAGTTCCGATCTTTAACAGTTTGTTGTTAAGAGTAAAAACTGTCATCTTTAATAAGAATGTTTATAGATTTTTTTATACGCAGTGGCGGCTATGTATAAGGGCCGTATAATGTCACATTCCGCTCTGTGAAAAAAACGGGCTCTGCTTAAATAACAGGAGGGGAATTGTCCGCCCTGTAAAATTAACGGGAGGGGAAAAGTCCGCCCTATTAAAATAACAAGAGGGGAAATGTCCGGGTTGTGAAAATAATATGGAAGGGGAATCCTCCGGGAGGGGGATTGAATGTCAAAAGATTTTCATGTTCTCTGTCAATGTCATTTCAATTATAATTATTTCTTTTCTCATTTTTTCAACTACACCGCAACAAAAAAGAACCTGAAAACGTATCTTTGCCTAAAAATTCATCACCGCGACTTATGCCTAAAAAATATACTCGGTTCCTATGGTATCAAGGGTTCTATGATATCAAGGTATTTAAATTTTCTGTGACTGCTAGTAAAAGAAACACATGATGATGCTAATATTTGTAAAACTTGCACACTAGATTCATTTTCATCTGCCAATAAATTTAATTTGATGAATAATGAATGTATTTGTGGCAAGAACCCTATTTTATAAAACCTTTATATTTGACTACCATTTTCCATAATGGTTTTTACACAGTCAATTAAAATATGTTATAAACACATATACTGACATATAGTCTGTTCATATAGTTTTAATTTAACAGCAAGTTAACTGTTGGAAGTTTTTCACAACTTAACTTGAAAGTTTTGACTCATCTATCCTTCCATACTTGCTTTTTTGGGGATTACCTTGATACCGTAGTAACCTCCTCTGAAATTACCCAAAATGGCAGACATTGAAAATATTCTAAAAAATTTCATTTTTATTGGTTCTTTTGAAATAAGTTTTTGACAAACAGTTCTGGAAAAGGTTCACTTATAAGATGGACGAAAAATCTCACTCTCTTATGATATTTATATTTAAATATTTTAAACGTTAAGTACCTTGATATCATAGAACCCCGGGCTAATTTTTATGGAAGTGGCTAGCCGTACGGGCCCGTACGGCTAGCCAAAAGTTCTAGCCATATGTGAGTCACGTACGTCTAGCCAGGACACACTGTATTGGCTAGCCGTACGGCAATTTTCAAAAATTTATGGAAGGCGAAAGTACATATGTTTATTATGACTTTAAGCGAGGATTTTAGTCAAGAATGTTTACTTTTTATAGATTAATCAACGTGTTGGCTTCAGTAAAGAATTAATGTTCGTACTTTAATTGTCATCTCAAGAGGTCGAGAAAAAATAGCGTTTGGATGCAGTTAAATAACATCAATTGAAATAGTTTACAAAATTTTGATAATAATCCCTTTTTGTTTCATTAAGTTTAATTTTTAAATTGAAAAACAAAACAAAACAATAAACACCGAAAAAAATTGTTGTTGGGCTCTGATAATTGTGTCAATTACCGACGGTATAGAAGTTTGTCCATCGTCCATCATTAAGGAAAGTTTGCATTATTAAAATTATTTTTTCCTTTTCACCGTTTTTCTTATATTCTTATTATTCCCCTCCGATCATTATTTATTCGATCCATGTGCTTAATTAACAGATTTAACATTTCATCTTTCATACAAATCATAAAATTAAGGACGTTATAACATGCAACTTTTCTTGACACTTAATTTTATTAAGATAGCCTATACGTATACAACGCTTACGTACTGTATTCGTATTCATTTTTTTTTTTTTTTTTTTTTGGAAAATTGCGGAGCATCTTTATTAAGGTGAACACATGTTACTAGGACAAATGCGGAGATTTGATTAAAATAGTCGTTAAAGACACAAAATAACATATGCATTTTTCGACTTCCATATAATTTTGAAAAGTGCTGTACGGCTAGCCAGTACAGTGTGTCCAGGCTAGTCGTACGTGACTCACGTACGGCTAGAACTTTTGGCTAGCCGTACGGCTAGCCACTTCCAATCCAATTTTTATACGGGTCAACGGCATAACTTTTGTGAGAATTATTTCCCGCTTTTCATATTTACATAACACATAATTTTCCAAGTCCTTAAAAATATGTTTGTACTGCGACTAGATGAATGGGAAAGGGGGTAGCGTACAGGATAATATCAGATTAAAGCGTTTTATCCCTCTTTTTTGGGGGGGGGGGGGGGGATTTCATATTTTTCTGAAGATATTCGTTCATGTTTAACCTTTCAACATTTTTTTTTCTTAGTATAAATGTATAAAAACAAATAATGTTTAAATTACCATTGACCATGAGCAGTATTACGCAAAATACAAATATTTTGTTGAGTTCGCACGAAAAAGTTGTTTTGGAAGACAGCCGGAAGTGACAATTATTGCATATTTATTCGTCCTCGTTTTGTTTCGACCTTATTTTGTGCTTGCTTGATTGAACACCACTAAATATTTTCCTAAAACTAAATTAAAGTAGAGAAAGAAAAACTTGTGGAGAGCTTCAAAAAATGTGAGCTGAAGCCTTTAAATGGCAGGTTAAATTTGAAGGACACTGACAGAGCCTAGCTAGAATCAATGAATATGAGCAAATATATTTTATATCAATGTAAACTGTAAATGAAAGAGGTCTGAAATAAAAATGGTCATAATAAAAATATAAGAATTGGATCAATTTTAAGTTAAGATATACATACATACATGTTAATATCTATATTTATCTATATCAAACTCCATGGTTATGGTTATGGAGAAATAAATATTTATTTGCTAAATATCAGGCTATTATAAAAGGAGTTCTAAAAGATGTTCTATCACAAGAATGATGATTCAAAGGATTACAAATATATATTTATTGCAATATTTAAATGATATATCAAATAAGAATAAACAGCAACTGTCTTTGCTCATCATTTTAAGTGTTAACTACTGATGTTATATTTGAAGGCAATGAAATGCTGCAAATTTTGTCTTAAATAAACTTTTCTCCGAAGCTTTTAAAGCTAGTTAATGAATCTAATAAGTTATCGTTATATTAGAGATTTTTCATATCTAAATTAAAGATTTTCTAGACCAATTAAGCACTTTAATATCAGCAATTTGACGTACATTGTCTTCAAAGCAGATATTTTTGGAACCTTCATAAAAATGACAATTCTGGTATGGATGGGAATTAAGTATGATAATTTTGATGATTACTTGACATATTGGTGCATTATGATAAAGCAGTACGGGCCCATGTTTATACTAATTGTCATGGAAGTATTGTAGTTAAAAGTATAATATTGTTGAGTAACCAAAAGAAAGCAATTTACACATTATCAATTGCACTTGCAACCCATGTAAAATACCAAAAAACAACGAGGTCAAAATATGCAAAAATAGTCCTTCCTGTGTTAGTAACGCAGTAGAAATATAATTATGAATACTGAAGTAAAAAAAAACAGTCATAAATCGCACATTACATGTAAATTATATTACTTTAATCTTGAACCTTTTACGTATCCTAAAACCTTAGTACATTTTTCTCAAAGGGCTATTAAACAGTCAAAATCATGCTCGAAAAAGTATCTTCAATTATAAATACTTATAAATAGGATCAATATTTCTGAAGAATAGAGGTGAAGGCAACATAAACCTAGAAGTTCAAAAGGGGCCATAATCCAACAATCAACAGGAATGGGCCTTGAATATTGACGTGCAGTTATGATCAATATTAAAGACGTATAGTTTGAACTAACCACTACAATCCATTAATAGCTCAAACAAACCCAACCTGCGACATTTTCAATTTTGTCGTTTTGGATTTTTTAAATCCTTTTTCCAGAGGTTAAGTTTCAAGTGTTGCACACAAAACATTTAACCAATATTTTTAAGTTATTGTCCTCGGATAGTGTCATTCATCTGCAATTTGAAATCCATATGTGAAGTGACAAGAGACATAAGTGTTATGACGATACTCGATAGCTTTACTTTGATTTTTTTTAAGCTAAAAGATAATAAAAAGTGAAGGAAAGAGGGCAATAATGGCTCTGGATCACGCTCCAGAGATACATTTTTATTTACACCAGTTGCATATGCAATTTACGTCTGCTGGGAATATTATACAACAAAAATCTATAATTTTCAAGCAAAAAAGTTTTAAATGTGTTTACCTTGTTAATCTACATAATTTTACTAATATAACTAAGTATCCCCAGGTGGTGCTCATTTTAACCAAATGGTCCAGATTTAAAATCTTTAAAAGAAAACAGTAAGAAGAAAAGGTGATGTTTATGTAAAATATCGATGGTCTGACCATTTGGTTAGGGAGAAAAAGATTTTTAAGATACACATACTATATAAAGGCCTAGAAATGTATAAATAGCCTAGGAAGGGCTATTTTGTAACTCTACGATTCATACAATTTGTAGCCACCCACAGAGCAATGCTACATGCATTGTCATACATCTCAGCTCTAGGTTTTGCAAAAATGAACAAAGGGCAATAACTCCAAAATTAGGTAAGACAGAGTAATTGTTCTTTAACACTGCACTTTTACACAATGAGATCTATCTACCTACAAAGTTTCATGTTAATATCTCTTATAGTTATGTCCCTGACAAAGTTCAAAATGTAAAAATAAACAAAGGCAAATAATTAAAAAATTAGGCAAGGCAGAGTTACGATTCTTGTGCACTGCATACATACTTAATGAGATCTATCTACCTACAAGTTTCATGTTGATACCTCTTATAGTTTTAGAGTTATGTCCCGGACAAAGTTCAAAGTGTAAAAATAAACAGAGGGCAATAATTCAAAAATTAGGCAAGGCAGAGTTACGATTCTTGTGCACTGCACATCCACTCAATGAGATCTATCTACCTACACAGTTTCATGTTGACACCTCTTGTGGTTTCAAAGTTATGTCCCGGACAAGAATAGCGGACGGACGGACGGATGGCCGAAATGGAATAAGGGGCCATTTCTTTTCTTATTTTATATTGTTTAATAGAGGGCCAATGACCCCTTACTCTATTGTTACGGAATGAACTCTATTGTTCTCTTTTGTTCTGTTAACAGTTAGATGGCCCCTTTCCCTTTTCGGTAGTGCGGGCGGACGGACGGACAAAGCGGCGACTATATGCTCACCCTTCGGGGAGCATAAAAAGGAAGTGGCCCATACTTTTTGCCAGAAGTACTAGTTGTATGTGAGTCGCATACAGTGCTTGTCTTTACACACTGTAGAGGCTAATAGTACAGCACTTTAAGGGGGCAGGGGACATATCCGAATGATGGCCCCGTCAATTTTTTTAATAACTCACACATGGTGTTTTGAAGGTTCTAGAAACTTTTGATATTTCTCTGTTATTGTTATTCTTTCTTGTTTGTGTGTAGGAAATGAGCAGTATTTTTGTTTTTTTTTATCAGAAATTAAGCATTTCTGTAGCTTTGTATGTATTTGTGACTTTCCGAATGGAGGTGAAAAAGTTAACAAGAGCTGTCAGAGGAGACAGCGAAGCTCGACTAATAAAATACTTGACGGAAGATAAAACTATGAAAGAAAAATCAATTATGTATAATTATGTATTAAGTTACAGTAAAAAAATAACATGTTAACATAATTCCAAGATCAAGGGGAATAATTCAGGAAATAGTCACGCTAGAGTTGTGAACCTTATCACACAATATGTGAAGTTTGAAGTTCCTTAAAAGTAAAGAAGTTATAATATTTCTTAAAGAAAATCCTAAGTTCAAAGAGTGATAAATCTGTAAATATTGCTTCAAGAGTTATGAACTTTGTCACATAAAATGTAATCGGTGATAAGGAATAAGTATTTGAAAATCTTGCAAGATTGGTGCTAGAGTTATGAACCTTGTCACATAACATGCGGTTAATGATAAGGTACATATGTTTCACCGTGTACATGTAGTAACGCAGGAATGTGCAAATAACGCTGGAATTGTGCAAAAGTTACGCAGAATTGTGCAATTTAGTGGCTTAAACGAGCACCGCGATAAGTAAATGGACCAATATTTTTTTTATTGTACACCAAATTGGAAGAAATGAGTTAGCGCATACGGTTGCTGAGACATTATACTTTAAACCTTATCAAAAATATTTCCATGATAATGTTTATTTTTCAAGATCATTCGTGAAAATGACAACCTGACTAGCGTTTTGGTGGCGATTTTTAGTTTCGTTGATATCTTTAAATACAATAACATACCTATTACTTTATGAATTATTATATTCGGTGTACCTGAGACATTTGCCAATCTACTCGTGTCATATTACACTTAATTTAGCAGATTAAACGTAATTGAGACCATTTTAACGAGGTAACGCCGAATTCGTGAATGAAGCACTGAAGTTACGACGGTTATCTCATTAAAAGTTGCTAAATCCTATTTTACCAGATTCCTTCTATTGTTATACGACACTTGTAGTTTGACAAATGTTTTAGGTATACAGAATATGAAAAATTAAGTTTTAGATATGTTAAATGTACATATTTATTTGACGAAACCCAAAAGTCACATTCAAAACGGTAATCAGATTGTCTTTCTCACGAATGATCTAAGAAAGTAAACAAATTCCTGAAAAAAAATGAAAGGCTGGTTAAAGAATAATGTCGTAGCAGCCGTATGCGCTAATTCATTTCTTTAAATTTGATTTAGAATAAAATATTTTGGTTCGTCTTCTTACTGTGTTATTCCTTTTGGCAATAGCGTTGCACAGATTCGGCGTTACTTTTACGATAATTGCACATTCCTGCGTTACTGGATATGCACGGTGTATTTCAAGTATGAAGTTGATCCCTTAAGAAATAAATAAGTAACAGTAAAAAATAATATTTTAAAAGAAAAATTCTAAGTATAAGGGGAGATAAATCTGAAAATGTTTGGTGCTAGAGTTATGAACTTATGAACCTTGTCATATAAGATGTGGTTGGTGATAAGGAAGATATATTTGAAGTTTGAAGTTGATAATTTAAGAAATGACAAAGTTATAGTGTGAAAAATATTTTACTGCACCAAAACTTTAATCTGAAATCTGGACGCAGACACCAACGCCAGGCCAGTAAGACAGCTCTCCATATACTTCGTATAGTCACAGGAGATTGATATTCTATTAATAATTGAAAAATATAAGCAAATAATTAAAACAATAACGGCAAATGTACCCCTCTTTAGTATAAATAAACAATAGGAATGCAACGCCTTTTGCACACTCGATACACATTTGATCTAATTACATGTGTATTAAATCAATTTAAACTAGTTAAGCATTTTCGATACACAATACAGAATTATACCTTTTATAACCGCTGATATTTTGAATCAAAACATTGCATAATAATAAATTGGCAATATTAACTAAAATGTCAACAAATAATTTTGTCTGGCACTCCTACAATTAAGGTTATTGTTTCAAGTTTATATTAACATTAGCGCAAAAGAAAAATATGTTTTATCAAACCATTCCCATTAGCTTAATCTACCTATTTTATACTTATAATTGTATGGGTCAATGTCTATAATAATATATATAAAGTAAGATTAATCCACAATCCGCCTTATGTCGTGTGCACATGATTAATACATGAGCTAAGACATATAGACTTCAGTAATTTTGAACCCATTTAGAAGTCTTAATTAAGCAATCACGCAAGGCGTTGGATACAATTATGTTGTCTCAACACATAAAGGCAACCTGTCAGTCACGAAAGGTCCCTTTGAATTTGAAACAGTTCATTCAAATTTTTATGAATTTCAATATCGACATACACAAATTTAGCTATCAACAGCATAAGGTATCGTCAAAAAATTAAGTAGTACAGTACTAATACGATCGACGAAACGGACGACTACTCTCAAGTTATAATCTGTTATGAAGGGAGACAATTCTTTTTTCTTTTTTTTAAAGTATTTTAAAAGTCAATATATGTGTAGCCTTTTGTATCAGCTGTATTACTGCAAGTACAATGTATGTGTTAGTCTAAACATATCAGCTTCAGATATATAATGAATTATGTCATCTTTGTTTTAAATGTTAGTTTTTAAGGGACACAAAACGTACCTCTAAATATACTCTATATTCTACTTAAGACTTTCCTAGCGTAGATCTGCTGAATCAACTTTTTCTTTCTTCCATTTTTTTTAAACTGTCCATAATCAATGTTGGGCGTATCATGATGAAAATATAATTCAAGTCAGACAACAATATACATGCTGAACATGGGTTCAGGTAGGATAAAAACGAGATCAACATATTGTATTGATATATTATCCAGCAATGTTTAATCTTGATGGACACTTTAATCTATACGTGAGTAACCCTAGTAAATATCCAGCCGCCAGTACCAAAGTAAGTAAAAACGCAAAGATTAGTTGCCATCTAAGAGAATATGCTTATTATGTTAAAATATAATAGCAATGATTTGCACTAAAGGCACTGTATGAACGCATGTGAAATAATTGCTGCACATGAAAATAACGGTTCACAAAAAACAATTGAAAGAAACATGTTAAATAATGACAAAAGAATTTATCACTTTATCGAAAGTAATTTTTAAACTAACAGCAAGTTAATATGAAATTTACCCCTTAACCTGCCGGATTTACGTGACGGATTTGCCCAGCTTTGAATTCTAATTCATTTACGGTGCACCAAAACAGTTTAGGTCATTTTGCTCCCAAACAGTAAGCTGAGTGTTACAAACTTAAAGCAACACCAAGGTCCAAAACCACCTCACCTGGTGGAGCTTAAAGATACATAGACTATAGTAATTTTGAACCCAAATGAGAGGTCACTTCGAATTTTGGAACAGTTCATTCAACTTTTTATTATGGATTTCAATATTGACATACACAAATTTAGCTATCAATAGTATATAAGGTATGGTCAGACTGAAATGGACGTTCAAGCTGACCTGGCTTTTTACTGGCGATAAAGGTTTTATAAGAATTATTAACATTCTTAAAATTCTAAAATTCAAGTAGTTCAAAATGTTGACCTTTTTCCGCTAAAAGTTTTCACATCATGTTAACGTCCCCGCCTTTTTAGCGACGTTAAGGCCGGTAGATTATCCGGAAGTTACATACATTAAAGCAAGCGATATTTGAAGTAATTATAATTATTACAGTAAATATTCAGGATTGTTAGAATCGCTACTCATTGCTACATTTATATGAAATTAAATGACGCAGCGCATTTCTTACTTGGTTTCCTCAATCCTAAACAGGTAAATTGAATTTAATTCGAGCAGGTTAAGGGTTGAGTACAAAAAATGCTCTTCCCGAAAGGCTTTACAACTATTGAACTTACATAACCTTCATAACCTCTGATCCCCTTTCAAAATTCCATTTAATTTAGTTCCGCCCATTGTTTTCTCGTTTAGGGCACACGCATTTTTTACTTGGGGACCATATGCCGCTTTTCACGGAATGGCACTTACGTGTCACATTGAAGGTTCCATGATAACCAAGATATGAACACATCTGCAGATGTTTCAAAATTCAAAATTGTACCAGTTCATGTTAAATGTTGAATTCTGCTGAAGCCGGTGCTAGGGGGCGTATACGGTAGTTTGCACTTGACAGTACCGTCCATGAACATGCTCAATCAAACCTAGCCTGCAACTTTTTCAATTTTGCCGTGTTTGGCTTTTTTTCTTTTTTTGATACTTACTTTCTCTATGTTACAAATATGCATGCATTTCTTTACTATGATAAATAACTACACGTAACCCGGGTTTTTCAAATATAATTGAATCTATTTGAAAGACTCGGATGTAACACATAAATAACAAAAAAATAACAGATGGAAAATTCACTATTAACCAACTTCTTTAAACAAATGGAATATTAAGTTTTAGAAAATATAAAATGATACAAAAACAGCATATAATTTTCAACAGTATCACAGAAAAAAAAAACATAAATGGTTCATTATAGTATAAAATAAAAATATTAATATACACATATTAATTTAAAGGATTAATATATAATAATTTCAGTACTCAAATAATTAAAGAAACAACTGCAAGTAGCAATTTCCCAATATATATATGTATATATACTAGGACGAAAAAGAAACACCGGGTACATAAAATATGCAACACATATTTTATTGCTTGGCCTAAAATAATGAAAATCGGTCAGATTTATATAATGCCCCATGTCGCCAGAGTTTGCCAGCAATTTCTTGCCAACAGTAACATACACCCACTCGATTGGCCAGCATTCAGTCCAGATTTGTCCCCAATTGAACATTTGTGGGACGAACTGGATAGGAGGGTAAGGAGACGTCCAAATGCCCCCACTAATCATGTCCAGCTCACACATGCCTTGCATGAAGAATGGAATAACATCCCCATGGCCATGATTAACACCCTGGTGAATTCCATGCATAGACGGATCAGGGCTGCCACAGCTGCGCATGGAGGACACACAAGATACTGATATGTCCGGCCGTGTTTCGCAAAACAAGAAGGGTCATCGTTAAAAGGGGGTATTTTTTCACATAATCAGCATCGGAAATCGATTGAAACTTCAACAGCTGGTTCCATACAGATGACATTTCATACAAAAATGAATATAATAATCCAATAATACAATTTATCCCTTAAAACAATCATTATAGGTTACCCGGCGTTTCTTTTTCTCCTAGTATATATATATAATATCCTATTTTGTTTCTTAACAAAGAAAATATTGCAGTCTCTTTGAAACAGCCATTTTCCTATTGGTCTCCATTAACAATGAAGTGACTACAAGTTTAATCAATCAAATGCTAACAATAAGCAAGAGGAATAATACATCATAATTTATGTTAGAATTTTACAAAAAAAAATTTCATATCAAAATATGACTTAAGTTTTTGGTTTTGGGATTTCAGAAATTTTATGATCATAAGGCTGATGGAGGAAGAGCTTGTGTGCCCTTCCATCCAATATGTGTAAATTATACATTGTATAAGAATATCAATACAAGACAGTAAGATTGTAATAATAATGAGTACTAATAAATATGAACTTAGAGACTTATATTAAAATGAAAATGTGAACTTGTGTGATAATTAATCCCTGATACAGACTTTAAATGTATGAGGTCATAGCTTCTTCTCCACACATTATGCCTCAAAAGTGATTAAATTGTTCATTCTAGAAAAGGCAAACATGACTTTATAAGATTTAAATAATGGTTTTAGAACATTTAAGATGGGTCTGAAATTTTCTGTCATAAAAGTTGCAAATGTAAATAAAGAAGTATTTTGAAAGGAAGTCAAAATACTAAATAACTACATATTTAACTGATTGCCAAAATGCAACAGATGCAAAAGATGGTTCAGTTAATTGGCCAATTAGTAATTTTGGAAACTGTAAAAGGACAAAAAATAAAAAGCTTTTGAAAAATGAAAATAAAGAAATTCCGGGCCATAATGGGCCTGTAAAAAACTAAGATAACTTTAAACAAGACTGACATATCAAAATCAAGTAACAAGATTATCCTATCAAATGCAAGTGTTACAATATGACGCATATAAACTTTAACTAAGTGCATCACAATCACTATTCAGCCAGCCCACATAGCGTTAATCGGTTAGAGAGCAAAATTTGTAATCTAGACATTGTGGGTTCCGATCCCGGGCTAGCCAACTAAAATTACTAATCAGTCTTTCGGATGAGACTTAAAATCGAGGTCCCATATATGAGTGCTTAAACGCTTGGTGCGTTAAATAACCAGGGGAAGTTTTTGGAATTCGGGTATCTTTCTGTATCTTGCACTATCCTCCAAAATATAACAGGGTTTGAATCCCACCAGAGATTTGGGATTCTTTCGTGTATCAAAGCTGTACAGCTTCATAACACGAAAGAATCCCAAATCCCTGGTGGAATTCAAACATACAATGTACAAAAGTTACAGGCAAGTGGTTCTAAGTCAGTGACCTCAATTATTTGCAATGAAGAGAATTAGTGCGGGAGATGTAGGCTACATATTCCATAGTTTCACAAATCCATTTTAAAACTCAAATGGCAGCCTTTTTACTTAAAGGTAGGTTTAAATCATAACACGAACTTTGGATTATTTCAAGCGTGTAAGAAGATATCCATCTATATAGCTTACATGAAGTCAGTGATCACAGAGTCAAGTTGACTAAAGATTGTTTTTTGAAATTGTTGTTATATTTTTTGTATTTTTTTTTTTGGGGGGGGGGGGCAGAGTTGGGGTTGTTTACTGGATTATTTTAGTCTATTTTCCTAACCTTTTCTTCATGATTTTTGTAAGCTTACTGGATAGCTTCCTCACATACAAACAATCTAGATAACATTGCGGTTATTGAATCATTAAGAGCAAGCAAATGATAATTTGAGATTTTATATTTCACAAACAAAAAACCAAGAGGGCCATGATGACCCTGAGTCGCTCACCAGAAACAACTGTTTTTCAGTGTATATTCTAATAAAACATTTGAGCATAGAATATGTGTAAACAAGATATGTTTGTAAAACATGTATGCCCCCTATCGGCAGCCAATAAGTCATGTGATCAGGTTATTATGCACGACTTCTGACCCAGTGAACAAACAATTAATAAGGGTTATCTAGTATCTACTGGTCATGACTAGTCACAAGGTAATAATTATTGTGACCCAATAGGTTGTGTGCAGCAATTAAAGTTATTACAAATCTTACCAAATAATATATGCATACATTTTATGAATCATGTAGGCCTCATTAATGACAGCCAAGTTCTTATATTACATAAGACCTTCAAATGTGTATACCAAAAGCATTTTTAGTTTAATATAAAAATATCAACCAAGGCAACTTGAGTTGTTGAGTTATTGGTCAGAAACCTTCATTAAGTACAAGGTCAATATGACATTGACCCCTTGACCCCAAAATCAATAGGGGTCATCTACTGGTCATGACCAATCATCATACAAAGTTTGAAGTTCCTAGGCCTAAGCGTTCTTTAGTTATTGATCGGAAACCGTTTTTACCTACAAGGTCAATGTGACCTTGACCTTGGACCCCTTAACCCCAAAATCAATAGGGGTCATCTGCTGGCAATGACCAATCATCATACAAAGTTTGAAGTTTCTAGGCCTAAGCGTTCTTTAGTTATTGATCAGAAACCATTTTTACTTACAAGGTCAATGTGACCTTGACCTTTGACCCCTTTATCCCAAAATCAATAGGGGTCATCTGCTGGTCATGACCAATCACCATACCAAGTTTGAAGTTCCTAGGCCTAAGCGTTCATTAGTTATTGATCGGAAACCGTATTTACCTACAAGGTCAATGTGACCTTGACCTTGGACCCCTTAACCCTAAAATCAATAGGGGTCATCTGCTGGCAATGACCAATCACCATACAAAGTTTGAAGTTTCTAGGTCCAAGCGTTCTTTAGTTATTGATCAGAAACCTTTTTTACTTACAAGGTCAATGTGACCTTGACCTTTGGCACCTTGACCCAAAACTCAATAGGGGTCATTTGCTGGTCATGACCAATCACCATACCAAGTTTGAAGTTCCTAGGCCTAAGGGTTCTTTAGTTATTGATCGGAAACCGTTTTTACCTAAGAGGTCAATGTGACCTTGACCTTTGACCCCTTGACCCCAAAATCAATAGGGGTCATCTACTGATCATGACCAATCACCATACCAAGTTTGAAGTTCCTAGGCCTTAAGGTTCTTTAGTTATTGATCGGAAACCGTTTTTGCTTACAAGGTCAATATGACCTTGACCTTTGACCCCTTGACCCCAAAATCAATAGGGGTCATCTACTGGTCATGACCAATCACCATACCAAGTTTGAAGTTCCTAGGCCTAAGGGTTCTTTAGTTATCACTCGGAAACCATTTGGTCTACGGACCGACGGACGGGACGGACCGACAAGTGCAAAGCAATATACACCCTCTTCTTCGAAGTGGGGGCATAACAATAATTTGAAGAAATGCCATGACCTGGGACATTTAAGCTTTAGCTTAAACTGGGCTAATCAAATAAATATAAGCAAACTTGATAAAAGACTTCCTAAGAATGCTACAAAGTTTGGTGATCATCTATCAATTATTTCAGTAGGAAATAATGTTCGAAGACTTTTTCTATTTTTAGCTTTAGTGACCCCTAGAAGGGGCTAATCAAATTAATATAAGCAAACTTGATAAAAGAGTACCCAAGAATGCTACAGTTAAAGTTTGGTGATCATCCGTCAGTTGGTTCTGAAGTAGAAGATGTTTAAATGTTGTTTTTTTCTATTTTTAGCTTTAGCAGCCCCTAAAAAGGGGCCAATCAAATTAATATGAGCAAACTTGATAAAAGATTACCCAAAAATGCTACAGACAGTTTGGTGATCATCCATTAATTATTTCTGTAGGAGAAAATGTTTAAATATATTTCTATTTTTAATTTTAGCAGCCCCTAAAATGGGCTAATCAAATTAATATAAGCAAACTTAATAAAAGACTACCCAATAATGCTGCATACAAAGTTTGGTGATCATCCATCTATTAGTTCTGTAGCAATAGACGTTTAAATGTATATCTATTCTTAGCTTAAGCGGCCCCTAAAAGGGGCCAATCAAATCAATATGAGCAAACTTGATAAAAGACTACCCAAGAATGCTACAGACAAAGTTTGGTGATCATCCATCCATTAGTTCTCTAGAAATAGACATTTAGAGGTATTTCTATTTTTAGCTATAGAAACCCCTAAAAGGGGCTTATAAATATGAGCAAACTTGATTAAAGACTACCCTAGAATGCTACAGACAAAGTTTGGTGATCTTCCATAAACTAGTTCTGTAGAAATAGACATTTAAAGGAATTTTTTTCTTTAGCTTTAGTAGCCCCTAAAAGGAGCTTATCAAATTAATATGAGCAAACTTGATAAAACACTACCAAATAATGCTACAGACAAAGTTTTGTGATCATCCATCAATTAGTTCTGTAGGAGAAGATGTTTAATGGTTTTTCTATTTTTAGGCCTAAAGACCCCTAAAAGGGGTCAATCAAAATAATATTAGCAAACTTGATAAAAGACTACCCAACAATGCTGAAGACAAAGTTTGATGATCATCCATCAATTATTTCTTTAGAAATAGACATTTAAAGGTATTTCCATCTTCAGCTTTAGCAGCCCCTAAAAGGGGCTTATCAAATTAACATTAGCAAACTTGATCAAAATACTACCTAAGAATGCTACAGACAAAGTTTGGTTATCATCCATCAATTCATTCGTTTAAAGTTTTTTTCTATTTTTAGCTTTAGTGGCAACCAAAAGGGGCCAATCAAAATAATATGAGCAAACTCGATAAAAGACTATCCCAGAATGCTACAGACAAAGTTTGGTGATCATCCGGCAATCAGTTCAGTAGAAGAAGATGTTTAAAGGTTTTTCTATTTTTAGCCCTAGATAAAATTTGAGCAAACTTGATAAAAGACTACCCAAGAATGCTACAGACAAAGTTTGGTGATCATTCATCAATTAGTTCTGTAAAAGAAGATGCTTAAATATGTTTCTATTTTTAGCTCTGCTGGTCCCTTAAAGGGGCCAATTGGAATGACATGAGCAAATTCAAGTGTGACTGTCACAAGGATGCTACAGACCAAATTTGAAGTAAACCTGCTTAGAAGTTTCAGAGAAGAAGACGATTGTTGACGCATGACGACGGACGCAAGAGCATCCCCCTTTACCTTTACTAAAAGCTCACCCTGAGCCTTCCGCTCTGGTGAGCTAATAATTATTGACCTCAGTGTGGTCTTTTAAGCTTACAAATGTCTTAAAAAATAAACTGAACTTCTTAAAACATGCATAAAAGTATACACAAAATATAAGTATTATACAAAATAAAAGTAACATGCAAACGAAAGACCAAAACAAAAATATTGTCATTGTAAGTGTTGTAAAGTTCATCTTAAACATTGTACATGCAAAGTAATCACGAAATATTATGCATAGAATGTTGACCTAAAAGTAAGTGTCAATACCACAATACCAAAGGGGCCCTTTAAAATTAGTAACTGGTAACATTAAATTCCCTTTTTTTTTTAAAAAAAACAACAAAAAACAAAAAAAAAACAAAAAAAAACCAACAAACAAACAAACAAAACCTTGTCAGTTACCATTTTCCAAAACTTTGGAAAATGCATACCTCTTTTATTCAGACTACACTGTTCCTTTAAAAAAGTAACATCTAATTTTACAGGCTATTATATATTAATAAAGTGGTCAATTAATTCCCATTCCACTTCACTTATAATGTATACATGTGTACTGTTTTTACATTTTTGTTTCTTTGTTTTTATACTGAATTTTACTAGTGTTTTTTGTTATCAATTACAATATGAAGTTTCTGCATATTGTTTAAGTGCGCCAAAATATATACATGAACATTGTTGTCTTTGACATTGTATGATGCTGACATTATTTCCGGTAGATAACTAAAATTAGTTTTGAGTCTTCAATTGAATCAGTGTCTTTCAGAAAGAAATTATATCACTAGTCAATTTTCCACAATCATTTTCTTCCATGAAAAGTACACATATTTTTTTCCTTTTTTTGAAATCATATTTTCTTTTCTAAATAAATTCCTGTAATACTTAGACAGTGATTTCTTTCCGCTGTATTTTACAGCCGAATAAAGGCTGTTTCCCCTTCCCAAAATAAGTATATTTTCACCTACAAATGCTTCTATTTTCCCCAAAAATGCCATGTGCACATTCTTCACTAGGTTAATGACTTAACAGCAGCTGACACATCAGCTAGAAGACAGAAAGCTGTCCCTATACAAATGTAGATAATACTAGATATCCTCTGCTATGTACCATGCATGTTAAATTGAACTGAAATTGAAAATTTTATAAAATGTGTGAGTAAATTTCATTTTTAGTTGTTGGAATATGCAACAATATATGCCCCTTTTCTGAGTTATCGCGCTATATTTTCCCCTTCAGAAAGCTACAGGTTGTTTTGAAAAATTGAAAAAAACACTGTTAGATATTTTCAAGAAAAATATGTAATAAAATGGTCAGGCTGAGTAAGGGTTAAATTTCCAATCAAAACTTTTTCGAAAAGTCACACTTTATATCCACATGCTTCCTGAATTTGTTTCAAGAATATACTGTCCTGTGTGTCAATGGATGAATCTCCGACTTGGCCATCTTCGTACACAAAGAAAAATCGTGTACACACATTGTCCGGTTCAGGACATACCCATATTGCATTGTTCTTCTTCAACGGTGATGTGATCACCTCGCATATGGCAATACATGTAATATTGCTAGAAGTTAAGAACCGCGTCTTTGTGTCTGGCTTGGACTTGTTTTTGTTTACGCTGTGTGAGCCATAACCCATCCTGGAATAGTCCATCGATGTTGAAATATGTGGGCTCAGGTATATCCCTTCACCATAGGCAGCACCATTCACTTGCAACTTCGTACCCGACGCATTCATGAGACCTTGCCTATAAATAGATTTATGTGAATAAAATTTTACGATAATTTTCATTTACACTGTCTGACTGACATTCATAGTTTCATCAAAAGACATGCTAGACTAATGGCAATAAGGCAATGACCCCATAGTGAAGTTTCATTTACACTGACTTTATCTACTTTTGAGTTTGTTTAATTACTTAGTTATTTCTTTATCTTTCTTTAAGTTTTTTATTCACTTTTCTTTACTTACTTTGATCTTATTTATTTTCTTTGGGTAAGTTTTTTTTTACTTTGTGTAAGTAAGGCGGTTTTCAATCAAAGCACAAGTAGAATTTGATAAGTTAAAAGTAAACTACATGTAATCAGATATATTATGTATCAAAAATTTGAAAACCATGTGTAAAGCATGTTTCAAAAGTTTCTGTAACCTCATAACAACAGCATGCTAGACTATCCTCAGTACTTGATAATAAAACAAGAGCCAGAATAATCTACCAACTTGCACCAAAGTGTGACGCTGATGTAGGGATGAGTACAATAGATCTCTCTATTCTTTGAAAAATGAAACTGGAAAAATGGAAGTGCATGCAAAACTTTACCTGGAAGTCACTCCTTTGCTTAAGCCATAATGAGTGTTGCCACCTAACTTATCTTTTAAAAAGGCAAGGAAAAGATAAAAGATAAAATTCTGAAATGTTCTCATAATGATAAAGGTGTACCTTATTATAGAATGCCAGTTTTCTATACTGGATCCATGAAAGGCAAATGTACTTCCATGTTTTTTCTTGGCTTCTTGAAAGGCGGCCTCCTTTGCTGGGGGGCTGGATAGAAGTAAGAACTGGTGTGGTGTGTGCATGAATTCTAGCCGTCTCTCTGGTGACAACTTCACTATATGCGATCTGAAATATCGCAATTTATTTCTTAATATTTTGAAAACATTTCAAAGTAGTGAAGAAGCACAAAATAATATCCAATGAATATCAAACAATTAAATGTTATTAATGTTGATCTGTCTGTAATAATCAAATCTGTCATAAAACTTATATGAAAAACTTTCGGCATTCAACAATTTTTCAAATAATGGTCAAGGTTATATAAAGGTCAAGGACCAGCTGGTTTTGTCCTACTTAAAAAGTAGAGTCAAGAGGGTTGTTATGTTCAAGTAAAATGTATCCTCTATAATTAACAAAAGTTATACCCAATTATTATAGCCATTTCCACAATATGGGTCAATGTACTTTATGGGTAAATGTTAATCTCCTTACAATTTGTGCAACCAATTTTCTGTCAAGTTTTATTGAAATTTGTCTAGTTAATTGTTTTAGAGCAGAAGCACATACAGAGAGCCAGAGAGACGGATAAAAAGGCTAAAACCTGTGTACCCTCCTTGCATTTTCATTAAGCAGAAAATTATATTCATACTTACTTCTATAAAAATATACTTATCTCCTTGTGAACTTTTATTTTCGTAATTGTCTTTAATATTTAAAGTGTTCAGAAAACTGTATACATTTACGAGTCCTGCATTTAACATAGGTCTGTCATTAAATATATCACAGTATCGATATATCATTCGATACAATATCGATACACACTTTCAAAATATCAATACAAGGTAAAATTTATTTATTTATGTTGGTGAATATACCTCTCTATTTTGCCTAATAAGAGAAGTCACTTTTTCCGGTTTTCTTGGCTAACTTGAACTTTAAACTCTGTTTTCAAATGTCAGTGACAAAAATAACAGAACAAAACTTCATATAATAGTTTGTTGTATTTGTAATCTCTAATACAAGCATGCATAACACCATGATCCCAATTTATAACACATATTTATATGTTTTTCATTGAACCTACCGTCAAAGTCGATACATTAATGTATCGTCGATATTTGTCTCTCGATATATCAATATAAAATTTTCCATCAATGACAGCCCTTATTAAACATAGTTAAAAACTTACAAGTTAGCAATAGCTACTGTACAAACCTGTTACTAGTTATAATCCACTGTATTACGGGATATACACTTCGGTTACTCTGATCCAACTTCTGTTTTAGTGATGACGTCATACATGCCATATCTGACATGCTGGGCATTTCTTGTAACACCTTTTTAACTAAGTCATAGTCACGATTGTTTGGTGTAAACAATAAATTACGCGTGTTGTCAGGATCGATAACCGTTGGAAAAGGGTCGAATATAATATGATTACAGTTTGAAAGGGCCGCTGCACGCGTCAAACTAATCAGCAAATCAACAACTTCAATGTCTTCTACGGCATCTGCCATAACACCTAAATTCAGAAATGCGAACACGCAGAGTTCTTTGCCACAAACAGTCGGTTTTAACATTGCACCATTTTGAAATACATGTCGGGCATCACAGATTACGCAATACTCGTTCATTGTTGGAATTCTTTGTCGTACATATCTGAAAACTTGAATCAAGAATCCATCGGCAATACTTGGAACAACTTTGGCATTTTTTCCGTCCAATTTAGACAAATGCATTAAATTCAAATCTTCAATAACACACGAAGTGCTATGTTCAGGCATTACACTGGTTGTGCGTGCAAGACTTGGTAACATACGTTTCAATTTATTTAAAACTGTTGGATGCGACAACTGTCTCTTCAAATCAGTGCTTGCAATCTCTTCTGGTTTTTCTTTTGGTTTTTCAGTCTTTGTGCCTTTGTATAAATCTTCATTAAATATATCCACTTCTCCAAACTGAAAAACATTTTCGTCTTCAGACAATTGTGATATTGACCTAAAAGGTTTCTGATTTTTAATTTCGGCAGGAGATGACGATTCTGACTTAGATGGTACTGCTTCAGCAATAACATCCTCAAAAGTTTCTCCATTTCCTTCCGCGCATTTATTTGGATTTTCAAGAATCAATTTGGACGCTTCGTCAATATTTCCACGTGTAATGATTAACGCATTCCTTGCTAAATCAGGTTCTATAGAACATTCAAAACCCTATTGGTGTTTTTGATGACGGACCGCTTTGTGGCTTTCATTTCTACGCTGCAAAGGAATGCTTGCTAAATCAGGTTCTTTAGTAGTTGAAATACTAACTTAAGACGACCCATACTAACAAGCTGGGCAAAGTAATGGAATAATAACTTTTTTCATCCCGAACATTTCTTTATGGCAGGCAATTTTTCAAATAATGGCCGCTATTGGTGCTTCAGCTTTGATGTTTTCCGGAGCGCTTTGTGACTTTCGCATTTTTTCTAACTTCAGAAATGCTCCTGATAGTCCCCTCCACACAAATGATCCCATTCAGACGACAAAAAATTCTCAAGACATTTTTACGTACTTGACTTCCGAACCTAAATCCCTCCTTCTTAGATAGTTGAAATACTTCAACTTTAGGTGGATTTGACGACTCGAGGTATTGTGATAACGACAAATTCAGGCGTGTTACCAATGGCTCTGTCCTCAAAACTCCCCATGCATCTGCAGTAACCTCATCAAGAAGAAATCCAATTGGAACGTGCAATTCAACGTCAATTTCGTCAAGTGTTTCAAACAATCGGTAACTAATAGACTTTTTCTCCGTAGAGAAATATCAACCTCCCATATAAGAATAACTGGGGATTCATGGACGCTTTAATAATGTTCGTCACTTTTGAAAAAAAGGAACATCGCAAATATCATCAAATATCTCGTCTTCGTCATCTTCGAAACTGGACAGAGCATCGGTGTAGTGAGATGCTTCTGACTCATGGCTAATGGATCTGAAAATAAAAATTGATACTGTACTGCTAAAAAAAGATCAACCTTTATTTTAATTGAAATGCTACATTGACTACATTGTACAAACAAAAAGTATTGAAAAAATATAAATCAATATCAAAGTTACATTCTGATATGAACAGTCCCTCCATTAATCTTTATAAATTATAATGGATTTGTTTTGTTTTATTTGAAATTTTAACTTTATAAAAATACTTAATCGGCCTACTTAATATGGAATGCGCATATTAAAAGAATCATATTGGAATCATCATAAACACATTAATCTCCTTATGGGCATGAATGCAAAATTTTGTACAATGATATAACTGTCTTCTTTTCATGCATATTATTGAATTCCCTCGCTATGAAATTTTCGTTAACTATCCACTGAGACTTTAAAATTTAACAGCAGAATGTTCGCGGAACAGCGTGTTCCACACATTAAACAAGACAGCCAAGATGGCCAATAAATCCCTCAGCTGACCCATCAATTCATCCGACATTAGACATGCATCCTGACCAAGCTTTATGACAATTGAGTCAAAAAATGTGACCACTAGAGTGTTAATGCTGAAGGTTTTTCAATAATTGGGCGAGGTGACCTAGTTTTTGACCCCAGATGACCCATATTCAAACTTGACCTAGAAATCATCTAAACAAACTTGCAGTCCAATGTCCAGAATATTTGGATAACAACAGTAGCCACTATACAGTTAACAAGATTTTTCTATTTTTAGCTCATATGACCTAAATTTTCATCCGAGATGACCAATGTTCTGACACATAACAGCAATAACCTAGAAAAGCATCCTGACAAAGCTGACTCAAAATGTGACCATCAGAGTGTTAACAAGGGTTTTCCATATTCCGCCCGTGTGACCTAGTTATTCACCCAAGGTAACCAATATTCAAAAATGACCTAGAAGTTTTCAAAACAAACGTTCAGATTAATTTACAGAATATTTTGATCAAAACAGTAGCCACTCGAGTGTTAACAACATTTTTCTATTTTTATCTCCTTTGACCTTGTTTTTCATCCCAGATAACCCATGTTCAAACTCCTCTGAACAATCACCTAGACAAGCATCCTGACCAAGTTTGATGACAAATGAGTCGAAAATGTGATCATTAGAGTGTTAACAAGGTTTTTCCACAATTGTGACCTAGATTTTGACCCAAGGTGACCCATATTCGAACTTGGTCTAGAAGTTATCAAAACACACTTTCAGACAAATTTCCAGGATATTTGGATCAAAACAGTACCTACTAGAGTGTTAACGAGATTTTTCGATTTTTATCTCCTGTGACCTAGTTTTTCATCAGAGATTACCCATGTTCACACTCATTAGAGCAATTACCTAGACAAGCATCCTGTCAAAGTTTGATGATGATTGAGGCAAAAATGTAACCACTAGAGTGTTAAGGAACAAATGTTGACAGATGATGGACATTAAACGAATGTAAAAGCTCAACCTGAGCTAGCTCAGGTGAGCTGAAAAGGAAGGGAAAAGTAATAATGGCTTTCAGGACTCAAATATCTGCTCATCAGAAATTTATTTTTTAAAAATTGATATTAAACAAGTACTCAAAAGGTAAAGTGAATACTTTTATACTTCTAGACATAATAACTAACAGTTTCTGAGAAAAATGAAAGTTCTTAAACAAAAAGGCTTGCCTCTGATGGCTTAAACTGACATGGCTAGAGATAATCATACATTAGAATATGTAAGACTTGGGTACTATAATAATATCAGGAACAGAGAGACAAACATAATAATAGAATTCAATCTTCCTAGAAAGACTAGTGGTGCGATCATCCATGTTAATTCAGCTAAATGATTTAAGATAATTGTGTAAAAAGTGCAATAAAATCCCCAACTGCAATCAATAAATTTCCCTTTAAATTGTCGTAAAAATTCAAAAAACATTCCTTCAAATACATCACGTACACGATTCATAAACGGTCATAATGTTCATAAACCTTTCACTAGAATTTTCATAGAAAAACGGTTCAGGCCATCGTTTTAAGATGGTCAAATTTTCGTAAGCACATTAATTTCTGAACAGTACAATGTCATAAACGGTGCATAAAATGTTCATAAATATTCAGGGAACAAGTTTGATTTTCATGTAATAAATGCGGAAAGTCCATACCTAACAAATATCCTTTCCAAATAATTAAATTCCATCTACACATTAAGGTTGTTCATCCCTGGAAGTTTAAGCAAAATCTGCCATTCGGTTTAAGAGGAGTTTTGTTCACAAAATTTCTTTATGGTATATAGTGAAAAAATCAACAAAGGGCCATAATTCTGTTAAATTTGGTCGCAGCAAAAATTTCTTCCTTTAATGCCATCTACACATTAAGGTTGTTCATCCCTGGTAGTTTAAGCAAAATCTGCCATCCAGTTTAAGAGGAGTTGCATTCACAAAATTTCTACATAATATATAGTGAAAAAATCAACAAAGGGCCATAATTCTGTTAAATTTGGTCGCAGCAAAAATTCCTTCCTTTACTACCATCTACACATTAAGGTTGTTTATCCCTGAACGTTTAAGCAAAATCTGCCATCCGGTTTAAGAGGAGTTGCGTTCACAAGATTTCGGGACGTACGGACAGACGGACGGACGGACAAGTGCAACGCTATATGCCCCCCCCCCCACTTTGTGGGGGCATAAAAACAAATACATATATAAGATTTCAATCTTACCTAGATAACGCTGGTGGTGTGAGATCATCCATGATTTAATTCAGCTAGAATTGATTTAGATTAAATTGTGTAAAAGTGGCAATAGAAATCCCTCAATCTGCAAATCACAATATAAGAATATCTTATTTTAATGGTTAAAATTCAAACGAAAACAGTCACACATGTTCATAAACGGTCATAAATGCTCATAAACACTTTCAACAAATTTTCATTATAAAAAGGTCATGGGCATGTTCTTAGATGGTCATAAATGTTCATAAGCAGTCATTAATGTTCATGAACAGTCACAAATGTTCATAAACGGTCATAAATGTTCATAAATATTCACGGGAATCAGAGCTTTGGATAATGCATGTCATGTAGATAATGCGGAAAGCTCCATAACTCTACAAATTGTCTTTTCAAAAGTAATTAAATTTCATGATTTTCGTTCTCATTTTAATTTACTATCCTAAACATTAAACATGTACAGTACACATACATTTAGTTAAAACATGAATGAGATATTGTTAGAAATTTTAACATAATTCACATTTATTTCCTTATCATACCCAAACAAGAGCTGTCAGAAAGACAGCAACTCTCGCCTATTCTTAGTGCTTGATAGTAAAAGTGCCTTGATAATGTTAATAACAAAAGGACAATTTTTTTTATTTAAATCCATGTAACAGTTATAGGCCCTGGAGAGAGTCCTATTATGCTCTCAAAGAAGAGTATAAAATTTCAACTTGTTTCAATAGAATATGAAAATAACTGAGGTGGTATGCAAACCTAAATGTAAATTCTAAGTTGAAAAAGGGGCATAATTCTGACAAATGCTTGATACAGTTACCTCCTCCTGTCTAAAGGTTGGGGTCATGATGGTGAACAAGTGTGCAATGTTTCAAAGCCATATGTCAATGGACCTTGAAAATATTTGAGGTATTACAAAAACTTTAACGTACATTCTAATTTGAAAAAGGGGCATACTTCTGTCAAAATATTTGATACAGTTACCACATCCTGTCTACAGGTTGGGGTCATGATGGTGAACAAGTGTGCAAGGTTTCAAAGCCAGAGTCAAACTTACGTTCCATATCCGAAACTCTTTTATCCAAATCCTTGACACTGCATTTTGAACCACTAGACGAAGCACGTGGTTTAGTGTTCGATTTGGAATGAAGCGATCTTACCGAAGATTTGTCACTTTGTCACTTTTCTCGGTGTCAATAATACTGTCATCCTTATCACTAGCGGTCCGAACCGCTGCTTCAGTCATAATAAAAAAAAAAAACTAATAAAAATCTAACAAAAAACTGCATCGCTGTAACAAGCGAGCATAAGTGTAAACGTCCGATTGTTTTCACGCTAAAAGTAAAACTGAGGGGCGCATGCTGTTTCGGTCTTAGACGCTTGCTTTTTATTTTAGTTTTACACATGCGCCTCGGCGTGTCCGATTGTAAACAAAGGGAAGTAAATCCTACATGTATATTTATGACTGGTAAGTTTAACGAGTGAAATATAATTATGCAAGACAGAGATATGGTTCTTTATCACTGCACTTTTACACAATGACATCTGTCTACCTACAAACTTTCATGTTAATATCTCTTATAGTTTTAGAGTTATGTCCCGGACAAAGTTTACAGTGAAAAAAATAATCAAAAGGCAATAATTCAAAAATGAGGCAAGGCAGAGTAACGGTTCTTGTGCACTGCACACCTTCCCAATGAGATCTATCTACATGTACCTACAAAGTTTCATGTCGATACCTCTTATAGTTTTAGAGTTATATCCCGGACAAAGCTCAAAGTGTAAAAATAAAAAGGGAAAATAATTCAAAAAATAGGCGAGGCAGAGTTACGGTTCTTGTGCACTGCAGATCTATTCAATGAGATCTATCTATCTACAAAGTTTCATGTTGATACCTCTTGTAGTTTCAAAGTCATGTCCCGAACAAGAATAGCGGACGGACAGACGGCCGAAATGGAATAAGGGGCCATTTCTTTGGTTATTTTCTATCGTTTAATAGAGGGCCAATGGCCCTTTACTCTATTGTTACGGAATAAACTCTATTGTTCTCTTTTGTACTGTTTACAGTTAGATGGCCCCCTATCCCTATTCCATAGTGCGGACGGACGAACGGACAAAAGGGCGACTATATGCTCACCACTCGGGGAGCATAAAAAGGAAGTGACCCATACTTTTTGCCAGAAGTTCTAGCTGTATGTGAGTCACATACAGTGTTTGCCTTTATACACTGTAGAGGCTAGTAGTGCAGCACTTTAAAGGGACAGGGGTCATATCCGAATGATGGCCCCCGTCAATTTTTTTAATAACTCAGACATGGTGTTTTGAAGGTTCTAGAAACATTTGATATTTCTCTGTTATTGTAATTCTTTCTTGTTTGTGTGTAGGAAATGAGCAGTATTTTGGGTTTTTACCAGAAATTAAGCATTTCGGTACCTTTGTATGTATTTGTGACTCTCCAAATGGAGGTGAAAAAATTAGCAAGAGCTGTCACAGGAGACAGTGACTAATAAAATACTGGACGCAGTAAGGAAGATAAAACTATGAAAGAAAAATCAATTATGTATAATTATGTATTGTTATATTAAAAAATAACATTGTTAACATAAATTCCAAGATCAAGGGGAATAATTCAGGAAATAGTCACGCTAGAGTTGTGAACCTTATCACACAACATGTGTGTAATGATAAAAAATATATATTTGAAGTTTGAAGTAAATACCTTAATAAGTAAAGAAGTTATAATATTTCTTAAATAAAATGTAATTGGTGATAAGGAATAAGTATTTGAAGTTTGAGGTAGATACCTTTAAAACTAAAGAAGTTATAGTAAAAAATAACATTTTTCCAGTAAAATAAATCTAAGTTCATAAGGAGATAATTCTTGCAATATTGGTGCTAGAGTTATGAACCTTGTCTCATAACATGTGTTAATGATAAGGTATATATATTTGAAGTATGAAGTTGATCCCTTAAGAAATAAATAAGTAGAAGTAAAAAGTAATATTTTTTAAGAAATGTTCTAAGTTCAAGGGGAGGTAAATCTGAAAATAGTTGGTGCTAGAGTTATGAACCTTGTCATATAAGATGTGGTTGATTATAAGAAAGACATATTTGAAGTTTTAAGTTGATATCTTAAGAAATGACAAAGTTATAGTGAAAAATATTTTACTGCGCCAAAACTTTTTATCTGTAATCTGGACGCGGACGCCAACGCCGGGGCGAGTAGGACAGCTCTTCATATACTTTGCATAGTTGAGCTAAAAATCAAGCTTCGACAGGTGGCGCAAAACAAGTACGAAATTTCGAATAAATTTTGTGAAAAATCTAAATGTTTGACAGACACCTTTTGGTCATTTTTGAAAATGTCATTGATTGCACTGTGTGTTAGTGATATTTTTAAAGGAATCGGGCGAATTCTGGAGTACATCTACATCGTACGTTTCCGCAATCACACTTGATTAAAACGCGACGGGAGGTGCTAGGTCAAGAAAAAGAAATATACATGAAATGATAGAAAGTGAGAAGAGGTTGGATAGGTCAAAAGAAAGAGATATAGACAAAAAGTCTGGCCAGCTATATTTTCGCCTCTTCAACCCAAACCTCTCCGGTTACGGTGGCCGCGGCTGGCACAGCCTTGGATATCACTAGTGGGTACTTGTAGCCGGGCCCCTTATGGCGGATTAGAATGTGAGGGATGATAACCCCTGCTTGAAGGATACCAAGTCAGGGGACTCTGCAATGGGTGCAGGTAGGCTTTTCCAGGCTGTGGCTGTACTAGAGAAGGAGTTCTTGTAGTACGATGTAGATGTGGATGGTTGGTGTAACTTCTTGGAGTGGTCACGTCTAGTGCGGCTTGGGGCAGGGGTGAGGTAATCGCTGACTGGTATGTCTACAAGGTAATTGATGATCTTGAACATTATGGTCAGCTGGGATTTAGTCTGTCGTGACTCTTATATCTCCCACCCCAAGTGTTGGATCATGGAGTATACGCTGCTGGTGTTGTGGTAACGGTTCGTCACATATCTTGCAGCTCCCCACTGGACCATCTCGAGCTTGCGTGTAAGGTCCTTGGTATAAGGGTTCCAGACGGTGGAGCAATATTCAAGGCCTGGTCGCACGACTGACATGTAGGCTGTGCTCTTGACCTGTTCGTTGCTGATGCGCAGATTGCGTCGAAGGAAGCCGAGTGTGCTGTTGCCCTTCTTCACAATCTTGTAAACGTGTTGGTTCCAGGAGAGGTTTCCAGACATATAGACTCCGAGGTACTTGGCTGTCGAGTCCATCTCGAGTGTGTGGTCCTTTAAGGAGTACAGGTATATGATGGGGGTTTTCTTCCTGTGGACCCTGATTATGCTGCACTTCTCTGGGTGGAAACTCATGCCCCAGCGTTTCTCCCACAATGCCTGTAAAATGTGGCAGTCCTCTTCAGTGGCGATTTCCCGGTATACCACACAGTCGTCCGCAAAGAGCCTGGCCTTGGACGTGACATGAAGTGGCTGGTCGTTGATGAAGACCAGGAAGAGTATGGGTCCGAGCACGCTTCCCTGGGAGACTCCGCTGATAACGGATGATGGGTCGGACGTTGCTCCATCAACGACTACCCGCTGAGTGCGACCTGTGAGAAATGCCTCAAGTATGCTGCACCCAAATTCAAATAGCCCAGATTGGTATATTTTAGGTGTGATTTTTGCTGGGTGGGGGTAATCATAAATTGCTGTCAGTCAGTATTTTTTGCAGCAATGCATGCAAACTATTATTTTTTCAATGTTTGTCTTATATCCTTAAATAATGCTGTTATCTGAAACAGATTTTAAAATATTTGGAATAATTGTTTCTGGCCACACTGAAATACAAATTTGTTCATTTTTAGGTGCCCTGCGCCCTTAAATGTTACTTTAACTAAAAAAATAATTAGTAATGCAAACTTAGACTTCTAGATCGATCTTACTTAGATGAAAGTTTCTTTAGCTAGATCGATCTGACCCCTTAATAAAGAATGGAATTTTCATCCATAAAAACACACTATAATTTGCACCGAAAAAACAAGCCGACAAAAACTGTTTGAACTAATAAGTCGAAATGACTTTGGACCGAGTTAGTTTCGGGATAAGATAAGATAAAATTATCTCAAACACAGAACAAACACCGATGAAACAGATATAGATTTAATAAGAGCTTAGACACACTCTTATATATTAAATCAAATGAACACTACTGGGATCCTACATATTACCGGACAAAATATGATGTTTTTCCGCTGTAACTTTTATTTAAAATAACGAAAAAGAATTGAATTTTACCCAAATAATTTTGGGTTCTTGATACACGTAAACATTCCTTTATCAAACATGAACTTAAATATTTGACCGTAGAAATGTGTCTTTAGAGTAGGGCATTATAAGAGGAAAAAATCGTGTAGACAACTCAATTTACCGGACATTGCGTTTCAATTTTTTTTAATTCCTGAATTGAAATTAATCTTTAAATAATCAGCAAGGAAACTACGACTATTGAATGGCAAGGTTAAGATATTGGAAAAACCCAGTATGTCAGTAAAATTGACACGGCAGCCATGCTTGTTACGAAGAGGCCAATATAGGGGTGTAATTGAAATTAACACTATTAACTCAATTAAAGTATTGATTCTTCATAATCTTTAAACGTATGAAACATTTTGATATTCAAATGGAATTATGTTCTTTGTCATACAGTTCCCTTTTGTTCATCATGTAGCATGGTACAAAAGCCATAAAATCTATTTAATTTACATCTCATGTAGAGTTTCCTCCCATGGGCGTAACCCGTTTCCTTATATGTTTTATAATTTGCATTTCTTTGTAAAAGACAACAACGAGATACAGTTTGAACTAAATTTAAAATTACTTTTTATCATTAGAATATGTTACGATTGTCTCCTGAGTTAACGTTGAGAAGAATTAACAGTAAAACCCATCTAGCATAACCCATTAAGGGCCATAATATTTGGGCATACGCAGAACAGATTATTCCCCCCGCATGACCAGGTCATGGAATAACTAGTAAACAAAAGGGTATGATGTTAGTAAATAAAGAACTGAATCAACAATATTTGCCTGAGAGTGGTTTTGTTGTTATATACTTTGAAATAGAAAGTGCGTGTACGATTCAGACCGGATGATTTTTTAATCGAAACAAAAAATAAAGCCTTATTTCACAAGAATAAATTTTGTCCGGTAAACTGATTGTCCGGTAAATATGTAGGACCCCAGTAAAGTAATTTCTAAATAAACAATGAAATATACTAAGCATATCAGTCTAAAGGTAAGACAAATCATCAACTTGAACAGATATAAATTATGACTTATTTCAGACCAATAAAAATATAGATTTAAATGAACACAGATCAAAATCGCACAAAACAGAAAATCACATAAAATAAAAGTCAAACTGACTTTAATTGAAGAAAAATTAAAATACATGAAAGGAAATTTAACAAACAAAAAAAAAGTCTTAGAAATCTACTTTGTAAAAACAAGCAAACAAAAATAAAATGGGTTGGGAGGGAGAGGCGAAAAAGATCTGTATCAACCAATATGTGTCTAAGAACTGTAAAAAACTGAATTTATAACAATTAACGCGTAGGAATACAACTAAATCAGTGACCCGAAAAATACGAATACCTAAAGAATGACCCATCAGATGAACCAATACAAATTTCTGTATTTTATCGGTAATTAATAGATTTTAGATAAATCGAAAATACTCTACATTATAAAGGTAAGACGGACGGACCGGAGTTAACACGGAGTCTCTTAAGTTATAACACATCCTTATCAGATACATAAAATGTTAAAAAGACATGTCGGTTAAAAATACTGATAATGATACTTACAACTCTGTTCTTGTATTACTTGCAGTCCGGTCTGTTGACTTTGCAATTCCACAACCGCAACTATTCGGCCCTTTCCATCAGTCTTCGGATTGACCTGCGGCATTTCGGTCTAAACAAATAGTAATTTAATGCTGGAAGTTGTTGACAAGTTTATTTCAAATATTTGTTGTAAAAGTCCACCTAAAATAAGTGAGCAAACAATACATTATTTCTATATTTATTATTATGGTTGTAGAAACCGAAAGTACAAAAAACCAACCTGTTGACTTTTAGTCGGATGTTTCCACAGCCGAGATAGTCTGGTTCCCGGTCGTACTTTGCTACGTAAAGAAACAGTTATATTTTCAAGGGTAGAGTTTTTTAACGTAAAAGCATCTTATATTAAATATTTTTTTCTTGATAACTATTAAAAATAGTTTTACTAGGCCAAGGTACATTACAATGATATTTAATTCTAAGATTTCTATATCTACTACAACAAAACAATAAATGATATTCATTTTCAATTACATTTTGGTTGCAGATATTAAGTAATACAAATAATCTATATTCCTCTATACAGCTAAAATGTTATGAATGGTATTTATAAAAATGTTGCAATGAAGGTGATGATTCAAGTTTATATTAACATTAGCGCAAAAGGAAAATATGTTTTATATATAAGATTTTCTCAAACCATTCCCATTAGCTTACATTACTTATTTTATACTTGTAATTGTATGGGTCAATGTCTATAATAATAGATATAAAGTTAGATTAATCCACAATCCGCCTTATGTCGTGTGTACATGATTAAAACATGAGCTAAGAGATACATATAGACTTCAGTAACTTTGAACCCATTTAGTAGTCTTCAGCAATCACGCAAGGCGTTGGCTACAATTATGTTGTCTCAACACATAAAGGCAACCTGTCAGTCACGAAAGGTCCCTGTGAATTTGAAACAGTTCATTCAATTTTTTTATGAATTTCAATATCGACATGCACAAATTAGCTATCAACAGTATAAGGTCTCGTCAAAAAAATTAAATAGTACAGTACTAATACGATCGATGAAACGGACGACTACTCTTAAGTTATAATCTGTTATGAAGGGAGACAATTATTTTTTCATGGGCAGTCTTTTGAAAGTATTTTAAAAGTCAATATATGTGTAGCCTTTTGTATTAGCTGTATTACTACGACCGAATTACGGACAGGGCGGACAGTGAGACAGGGTGGAACGTACCAGGGTGGACCGTATGTTCGGATGGGGCGGACCATATTTTGGGACAGGGCGGACGGTGACTCGAGACGAACGGACCATAATTTAATGTATTAAAAATATTTAAATACTGAGGTTGCCTTCTTATTACTTTTAATATCATTATAAACATATACATATACGCCCTGTCCTACGACCGATTTATATGTATTTGTCAAAAATCCCAATATAGTCTTAAGATAGATTTTTAAAGAATATTACATTTATTTATTCCATTTTAACCTGTTGTTATCTACTTATGCATCGTATTTGTATTTGTATAGGATTACCTACTGATCGTTCCTGTAAAGATTGAACAAAATCAAGTATATTGTTTTGAACCAAAGGTTGTATAAAGAAATCGTTGATAAGGCCTAAAAACGGACACACTGCCGTAACAAAAGCCCATACCTGAGAGTTACAATATCAGAACACACAAGTACTGTATATATGCTCTTTCCTTATATAATTATGATTATTTTTGTATAATAAGTTTAAATGTATTTCAAGTTCCTCGTACAAGTATTATATTATGTCTTATATAGGGAGATAGTTCAAAAAGTCATTTATGTGTAGTTACTGTTCTTCAGTACTATCATTCTTCTGACGGGTAAAAACGGAAGCGGTGCATAAAATACCGAATGACACCTTTAACCCATTACCGCATGAGAGTTTTGTGAATAAATGGCTGTTTTCATTAAAAAGCCTCCTGTTACAAGTTCGAGGTGAAGTTTCAATAAGATAGCATTGCCAGTTCAGAAGTTGTTCTGTGGAAAAGCATTATTTAAAAATAAATAAGTATCATAAAGGTAGATAATTAAAAAATTAAACAAGATAAAATTATGACTTCTGTACATTTCACTTCGTCATATTATTTTCTATCACTGTATGATGTTTTAATCAAATTAGTTCGATATTTTTCAAATCATTCTCCGAACAAGCATTATTTAATATTACAAACGAAGATAATTAAAACATCTAAGTAACGTACAGTTCTGATTTTTTGACACTGCACTTCTTCTCACAATTCGAAGTTTCAATGAAATATCAATGATGGTTCAGAAGTTATACTAAATTAAAGCAAGATAGAATCACGGATCTTTAACACTGCAGTTCCTGTCACTGGTATTTATAATTGTGTAAAGTTTTAATAAAATTCCTCCAATACTTTTCAAGTCTTTTCTCTTCAGAAAAATACTAAAAGTACTTCCTCTTTTAGTCCCTACAACTGTGTGAAGTTTCCGTTAGATATCATTGATGGAATTAAAATAATGATAATTCGGACAAGCATTTTTTTCTTAAGGTAGATAATTATGGTTCTTGGATACTGCACATCCCCTTAAAAGTCTCTATCACTGTGTAAAGTTAAAATAAAACTCCATCATTACTACAGTTTCAGGTTTTTCTACGGAAAAAAGTTCAACGGACAGACGGAAGGTCGGACAAGTGGCAATTATATGCCCACCCTTTGGAGCCAATAAAAATGGGCACAGGAAGTGTGCTGTGAATTTGTTTGAATTAAACTATATTTAGATTAACATTATTTGATTGGTATACACGTGTACTCGTACGGCTTAAATTCAATCAAAGCCGATGTTACTTTTCTGTCATGTTTGTATTAAATAAAATAGCTTTAATAGTTCATTTAATATATATAGAATGAAGTTGAACGATTACGTTATATATGTCTGAATGGTTAATGAATAAGCTTGAGTATATTTTTTTTTCTTTATAGTAATTTTAAGTGTATATATGTTTATAAAGCCTGTAACAAGCAATAAATCATGTTAAGTTGAGTCTTCAGTCGTGTAGCTATATGTGTATTAGGCAAATAAGCAATAAATTGAAACTATATTGCCATGCATTAGTTTCTTGTGTTTTTTTATTGCTGGCCATCACTGTCTTGGGTGGTAACCGGTTATACAATATATGTATATAGTATATTCTGAAAATCTTTTTATAATTAAGAAAGAAAGAAAAATATTAGATTCTACAGCCTGATCTCTTTTGGTCGAATTAACTTGGCATGTCTTGAACCGGTTTGAAATATTCTATTATTTTACATACAACCTATTGAACATCACATTTAAAAAAATATGTTATTTTTTCATCCCAGTTTCTATATTTTTCGGAATTAAGCGTCCTTTTGCCCAATCCGCGTTTTACTTTCTCCTTTCAGGCCACGTATAACGACCAAATACACGGAGTAAAAATTGTAGTGACACCGTTTGCCACGCTGGAGGCCGCCATCTTGGAATAACAAACCGGCAATATTGGTTTCTAACAAAAACAAACCGTATTTTTTAGTTTTATAGACAAATTATCCATCTATTTCAAGTATGGAGCATATATTTTACATATTGCCATTGATCGCTGTGTGTATATGTGTCTCATATGCAGGAGAAATGACATTTGAGCTCCCAGATAATGAAAAACAATGTTTTTATGAGATGATCGACAAGGATGTAGAATGCACACTTGAATTTCAGGTATATACATGACCTCGCAACCTTAAGTTATTTCTAAAAGATATATATATTTCTTTTTCAGCTTATCAAAACTAAAAACACAACACAGATATGCTAGTTTAGGTGACCTAAACTTCCTAAAAAGTGTTGGATCAGCAAATAAATACCATAATTTTGTGATTGACATATTTGCATAAATTATACGAATAAGGCAATGCCTCAAAGCAAGCTCTTTGACAGAAATTAATATGAAAAAAGGCAAAGGAAATGAACGGGGAAGTCGGTCAAAAAATCCTTTTGTGACATTTGTCATACTTTTGGTCGCACTATTCACTTAACACCATATTTTACATTTGTTTTAAAACTGCCATTCTGTATTTTATGCACTGCTTTTGTTTATACTGGTTCCCTGTCCAATTATGGTTTCTGTAAATGTGCACAGGAGACCAGTCTACGCATCCTGATTAAAATAAAAAATGAAAGAAATTTTCTTATCTGACTTTCCTGTTCAAAGGCTTTGCCTGCTTTCATAATATGAAATTAGGCAAAGCCTATGAACAGGGAAGTAAAAAATCCTTTCATTTTTCTGTTTTGAGGTGTGATTCGGTATTATATGTACACACTTCCGTTTTCACTCGGAACACTCGACGATTATTATTAATCCAAAAAGTTGAGATTTGTTATGTTATCGGAATGCACCACCTTTTATCCTTGAGTTACATTGTAAATGGCGGCGCCTATCTAGAACTGACACTGAAAATTTCATTGATGGGTATAGAATTCTATATATATTTTTTCAATTGTTTTTTATTTGAATTTTCTTTTAAATATACATTTGTAGTCTATAGCCGGGCAAGCCAAAGCCCGGGCCCGCAAAGCGACTTTGTCTTCCCCGTAATATTAAATTAGGCAAGGCCTATGAACGGGGAAGTCGTTAAAAATTCCTTTTATTCTTTCTGTTTTAAAGGTGTCATTCGGTATTACATGCACCGCTTCCGTTTTCACTCGGAACACTCGACGATTATCATTTATCCGAAAAGTTGAGATTTGTTCCGTTATCAGAATACCCCGCCTATTATCCTTGAGTTACATTGTAAATGGCAAGACAAGAACTGACACTGAAAATTTCATTAATGGGTATAGAATTCTATATATTTTTTAATTGTTTTTTATTTGATTTTCTTTTAAATATACATGTGTAGTCTATAGCCGGGCAAGCCAAAGCCCGGACCCGCTTCGCGGGCCCGTTCTTTGACTTCCCCGTATTAATGGTTGATAATATGAAAAAGGCAGAGCCTCAAAGCGAGCTCGATTTTCTTTTACCGTAAGATATATTAAAACAATCGTTCATTTTTATTTTACATTTTCCGTTTTAAAATTGTCATTCAGTATCTTATATACTGCTTCCGTTTATTCTGGTTCCTCCTTTCTATTATGGTTTCTATATAAGTGCGCGGGACACCAGCCACGCTTCCGTTTTCAATCAGAGTACATCAGCTTTTATCCTTATCTTGTAATTCGAAAAGTTGTGATGTGTCCCATTCGGTACTTCGGACGAACGTTTTCAAAACCATAACTTAGCAGGTACTAGCGTTACCGTAAAGCTCGCTTTGCGAGCAGGCCCTTCGGGCCAGCTCTTCGAGCTAGCTATTAAATTTAATTGTTGTACAATCAATTTTCTGAACTCACAGTATCAGTTTTGTAAGCAGATTCTAGTACATGTTGGCTTATCAGTTGGGTTTGATTTTCTCTTGTCATAGGTTATAACTGGAGGTCATTATGATGTAGACATGGAACTTACAGATCCCTATGGTAAATCTCTATACAAAGATGTGAAAAAACAATATGACAGTTACACATGGACAACAGATTCAAAGGGGGTCTACAAGTTCTGTTTTAGCAATGAGTTTTCGACGTTTACACACAAAGTTGTATACTTTGACCTGGAAGTGGGAGATGAAGACCCCCTCGCGAAGAAAGAGGGAGGTGACGCACACGCCACTGCTATGACAATGGTACAGAATTTTTATCATCTTTTCTCTTCTTTCTGCCCCACCCCCCATACTGTCCCGCCTAAAATCATACAAAACTCAACTTTGAAGATGAATTCTTCTATTTCATAGGTAAAGATGACCAAATTTGCTTTTTTAGAAATAACTTAGTAAATAAGTACTTCCATTTAAATCTATCCATGTAGTCAGTAGCATACTGTAAACATGCCTTTTCTCAGTGTCACTACAGGTGAGATTACCAGACCCATCTCCAATGGCAAATATGCTTATTTTGTTCCCAATTTTCAAATAAAAACGGGTTAGGTACATGTAATGGCCTGATAAAAATAGCCATTTTCTTGATTTTGATTGTTTTCTAAACATACATTTGCTTAGCTATTAAATGTTGTTTGGTATAGATATGTAATGCATGCATGCCTTTACTGTGGTGGTATTGTTTTATTTTATAAAATCTGGTGATGGCAGTTGATAGAGTACAACAGAAAAAAATCTCTGTTACAGGGTCGAGAAAGGTCGAAAAGACGGTTATTCCGTACACTGTGCCAATAGTTTTCATTTATTTATAGAACAGATTTCTTAAAAAATTGTTCATGAATCATGTTGCTATGGAAAATCAGCATTTCTAACAGTCACAAATATGATCCATAAATTGAGATATTCAATTATAACCTGCTGAATCGTAATGGAATTGCCCTGCTTTGAATTTGGATCAGTCAATGCAAAATTCCAGGGATTTCAAATTTTACAAAAATTGAACTATAATTATGTACCAGTAGAATACTAAAGAGCCTAAAAAGACTGCACAGAAATTCTGTAGGCTGGCCTGACTCAATACTGATGACAAAGGCCATTAACTTACTGTTCCAGCAAGTAAATTTAAAGGCACATTAAGCCTTAGAATCAAATAAATTTCTACTTCTTAGGTAAGGGCATACATGAATATTATAATGTTAAAAAAAATGGTTTTAGAGAATGTAGGCTGCTTGTTACCTGAAGAAAGTAGTGCTTAACGTGAAATAATTTGTCATAAAAGTAGCAAAATGTAAAGTTGTATTTTTGACTTCCATACAAAATACTTAATCACTTTAACTATACAAAGTTCCAAAAGGCAACACAAAGAAAAATTGGTTCAGGTAATTGGCCAATGTGCAACTTTTTGTTAAGTATAAAAGTACACAAAATTAAAAAGCTTTTGAAAAATAAGAGTAAGAGCATTTTGGGGGCTTTAAAGTAAATGTGATGCAGTACAATACAATAGAAATAATTCAGTACAATACAGTCAATACAATACAATTATGAATAAATGCAGTACAATACAATAAATGCAGTACAGTACAATAGAATAAATGCTGTACAATAAATGCAGTACAATACAATAAGTGCAGTACATTGAATACAATAAATTCAATAGAATACAATAGAATAAATGCAATACAATTAATGTAGTACAATACAATAAACAATAAATGCAATACATTGAATACAATAAATGTAGTACAGTGCAATAGAATACAATAAAATTAATACAGTACAATACAATAAATGCAATACAATACACCACACAGTATTAATTCATGGAGTTTATTATATATTTAAGTAAGATGACAAAGAATCCTATCATTTAAGTGTTTAAATTGACATCATCAATAAAAAAATTGTTGATATCAATGTAGTAAATGTTTTAACTGTCACAGTCTGTCTTATGCTGTCAATAAAGAGCCAAGGGGTCCATTACATGTGTAGTAATGGTATAAAACATGAATTAAGACAATGTCAGTATATTTAAATTTATCATTATTAACTGACTTAATTCTAAATGAAGAATCTAAACACAATTTGACGTGTTTAGAAATTTGAATGTTAAGTCTTTTAAAGGGATCTTAGTCCTGTTACATGTACTTTACAGAAAGGTCTTTGTGTTATTGTTCTACTCAGACACCTGTTTGTGACCAAAAAAAAAAACATGCACAGAAGAGCCTGAAGTCTTCTTCCATTGTGAAAGCCTAACAAAAAATCATTAAGCAAGTCCTTTAAATTCTGGTATGTTAAGAATAAATTATACCACCACAGCAAAGGCATACATGTAGTTATATAGTTTAATATCGGATAGTGAAATATTACATTATCATTTAAAATAGATCTTCAAAAACCAAAATTAGAATTTCAACTACCTTTTCCCTCTGATTGGGGTACAATCATGTAAATGTTTATTTATAGTTTGTTTTCCTTTTTCTTTAGATAGATGTGTTGGGAATTTTTCGTAAATTGTTTCTTGGTTTTGAAGCATTTCAATTTAGGACCCACTCCTTCCTCTTCCTTGATTAGATGTAGATTTTGGTACATGTTCTCTTCCAATCAATTATACCTATCCTTTCTTTAGTATAAGTAGCATTGTGTTTGAATTGTTTTTTTATGTGCCAAATTAAATTGGACCAAAATTTGGTCACATTCCCCTTTCCAAAAAATATATTTGTTTTCTCCAACTGCTGACAAAAATTATCCTCCATGGTTTTTTATAAGCTCACCAGAGCCCAAAGAGTTCAAGGTGAGCTAACTTGGACCTGTGTCTGTTTTCCGCCATTAACATTTTTACTACTTTATGTAGAGCATAATTATCTTCTGGTGAGCAATTATTAAGAGTCATCATGGTCGTCTATGCTTGAGATCCTTTTGTTTATTGATGGGCATTTCTTTGAAAAAGTAATAATGTTGTATACATGTAGTTAAATTTAGGCTTTTTGTAATTTTTCCCAGATTTCCCCTTCCATAACTCAACTTGATTTTCCCCTATCCATGAGCCTTGCAATTTTTCCCCTATCTATGAGCCTTGCAAATTTTCCTGTGTGAGTGATTACTGCAGTCAGGGTCTATGACACTGCTTTGTTCAGGATTTTAAAATTAGCAGAATTTAAAGCTCTAGGTCCCCACCTACATGTCTATGGATTGGAATATGGCTAGTTACAATTTCTTTTAAGATGACAAGGTTTGTTCAATGATGGTACTACACTGAAATTATATACCTGTTTGAATTTTTATGCCACCGCAGCATCTGCGATGCGGTGGCATATAGCGATTCACCTGTGTGTGTGTGTGTGTGTGTGTGTGTGTTTGTTCGTTTGTTTGTTTGTGTGTGTGTGTGTTATATAGATTATATAGTGAACTTAAAAAATCTTCTTGTGAAAAACCACTAGTCCAATTTCAACCAAACTTGGCAGGATTGATCCTTGGGTGAAGGGCTTCCAAAGTTGTTCAAAGAATTTAATTCCATGCAGAAATCTGTTTGCCATGGCAACCAAAAGGAATTATAAGAATAAATTTAAAAAATCTTCTTGTAAAGACCCAAAAGGCCTAGAGCTTAGATATTTTGCATAAGGCATTGTCTGGTAGACCTCTACCAAGATTGTTCAAATTATAGCCCTGGGGTCAAAATCGGCCCCACCCGGGGTCATTGATTTTCACTATATGTACATATAGTAAAAACTTAAAATACCTTTTTGTTAAAGACCCATAGGCCTAGAGCTTAGATATTTTGCATAAGGCATTGTCTGGTAGAACCTCTACCAATATTGTTCAAATTATAGCCCTGGGGTCAAAATCAGCCCTGCCCCGGGGGTCATGGATTTTCACTATATGTACATATAGTAAAAATTTAAAATACCTTCTTGTAAAGACCCAAATGGCCTAGAGCTTAGATATTTTGCATAAGGCATTGTCTGATAGACCTCTACCCAGATTGTTCAAATTATAGCCCTGGGGTCAAAATTGCCCCCGCCTCGGGGTCATTGATTTTCAATATATACATAATATACATATAGTAAAAAATCAAAAAAATCTTATTGTCTGAAGGTACAAGGCTTAGAGCTTTAATATTTGTTAAATGATATCATATATAGGTACTCTACCAAAGTTGTTCAAATTTTGCCTCTAGTGTCAAAATTAAAAGTGAACTTTGATATCAGCTGACCTAGATTTTGACAAAGTGTATTACATGTTGTCCTTTGATGCAGTCATGAAATTTTAGGCTGTGTGAAATATGACCTTCATCACCAAATTCACTAGACTCAAGTGCATTGATATATTCCTACTCTGATCTTTTATAGAGTTAACAATAGATTTAACCACTAATCTGATAATAAGAATTAGATATGCATTATGACAATTTTCAATTGTATAGAAACAAAAAAATCTGTTCCTACACTACTATTTAGTGTTGTTTTATTGCGGTGGCATAGCATTTTTCTCAAATGCAATCTTGTTTGTTTTTAAAGCAAACCTGAGGTCATTCCAATATCGCGCCTAGAAATAAACCATATGTCCTATCATAAAAATTTACCATATGAGTATGACTCATCTTATGACCATATCATAGACATTCACCTTTGACCTTATCATAGAAATTCACCTTTGACCTTATCATAGAAATTTACCTTTGACCTTATCATAGACATTCATCTTATGCCCTTATCATAGACATTCGCCTTATGACCGAATCATAGACATTCACCTTATGACCTTATCATAGACATTCACCTTATGACCTTATTATAGACATTCACCTTATGACCTTATAGAAATTCACCTATGACCTTATCAAAATATTCATAGAAATTCACCTTATGACCTTACCTTAGACATTCATCTTATGACCTTATCATAGACATTCACCTTATGTCCGTATCATTCACCTTATGGCCTTATCATAGACATTTACCTTATAACCTTATCATAGACATTTACCTTATGACCTTATCATAGACATTCACCTTATGACCTTATAGAAATTCACCTATGACCTTATCATAGAAATTCACCTTATGACCTTACCTTAGACATTCATCTTATGACCTTATCATAGACATTCACCTTATGTCTGTATCATTCACCTTATGACCTTATCATAGACATTTACCTTATGACCTTATCATAGACAATTACCTTATGACCTTATCAAAGACATTCACCTTATGACCTTATTACAGACATTTACCTTATGACCTTATCAC